ATATATATATATATATATATATATATATATATATATATATATATATATATATATATATATATATATATATATATATATATATATATATATATATATATGCTTCTAAAACAATTGGATTATTTCCTTGCAAGTCTCGCTGTAGTAAACGTCTCTAGCCATGTTCCGGTAAAATCATGTTTTGTTCAACTTATAGATCGATTGTGTAGTACCAAAGTAAATGTATGTGATTATGGGTATCACATCAGAGATTCTAAGCATAAACTGAGATTTTGTCAAATAAGGGTAAGACAAACACGAAGCGGTGAACTGACGCGCTGCTAAGCTTGAATAATTGACTGCGGTCAATTGTCGTGGATACACTAAAATCTTCACAAACATTAACACAGTTTCTAATATGTTCCCCAGTATCCTGATCGGCCTGCTTAGATCCATGTTATCACATAGCGAGAACAACGAAGACAACGAAAATTGTCTTTGTAAATTTGAAACTTCATCACTGCAAAGAGTGGTTTAGTGTAGTTTACTGACACGTGGTTAAATAGAGCGTAGTCCGAACATGACGCAGCGCACGGCGGTAAACGGAACGGAAGTGACGTTCGATCACATCATGGAAACCCACGTACGTAAGTCTATGGTGTTCTAAAACGTTTATTATCACACGATCCACGGAGTTGACGATGACGGCATATTTGACAAATGTTGTTACGTGCCGTTCAGTACGAATTTATTCACGTCTTTGTAGCTACTGACAAATTCAAGTCGTAACTTGTATGTCAGCGCACATTCATTTGTATGAGATAATATACCGTCCAATAAAATGTTGAATATTCAAAATACTTACACCTAGTATTTTTAGCATTCAGGCCTACTATGGTGCAATTTATGATTGTGCGTGTGATATCATGAGTACACTGAATTTACTGTTTTGGGTTCAAACTCATAGTGACTGACTTTAATTAAGGAATAGTTTTTTTCACTTTAAAAATTAGTAACAACCTCTTCTAAATTTCTCGATTCGAATTATGTACACCGTTGTACATCGCCATTTTACAATTATGTTCCTCATTTCAAGAAATCCCCATTTCTCTTATTTATAGTAGTATAATAGAAAACTGACCCCGATACGCCGATATCACGCCATATGTTCCCGCCTTGTTTTGCATGTTTGAATTGGCTGAATCTTGGAGTTACCAAACGTCTCAAAGTGTATGTCATTCGATGACATGTGCGTGTGTGGTGGATTGTAGTTGTTCTATGTTTATTATGAATTATTAGTCATTATTTGTTGTCAGAATATTTATGATAATCACAAACAATAAATTTGTGAACCAAAATATTTTCTGATATTTAATTTTTTTTATATGTTCTGTATTTGTCATTTTTTTCTGAACTAATATAATGTGCGGAACAATAACACGATTTAGCCAATTGTCTTTGAAATCGACACTACTGTCATTTTGTGTAGTTCCCACAAGTATGACGTCACCTGCGTGTGTTTCAACCCGGTTCAATGATATCTGTTATTTATTAAACAAATACTTGCAACTAAAGTTACTGTAATACAACTTAATAAAACTGTTCGTCCGTCCGTCCGTCCGAATGTATTCCAGTGAATACAGGCAGTTCACCAGGCACACTTTGCAAGACATTATTTGTTATTGCATATTTAATATGGACCTTGTGTAAACCATGGCCAATACTACTATCAGTCCTTCATAGTAAACTATACATTCATATAAAACATTTTGCACCTATTCTAACACATGAAACTCCTCTTACTACGAACACTGCATAATTACTTATTATATTCAAGTATTATTACTTGTACGCAATTTGCAATGCAGGCATCTGTAGAAGTATATATAAAGTTTGCAGCGAGGAATTATGGCTGCAAGGCAACTCGCATTGTCAATCATTTGGTCAATGTATAAGTCATTTTATTCATCTTCATGTTTGGTGTCATAATTATTGAGTTCAATCTGGTATAATGTATCTTAATTCTCCTATCTGTACTAGATGGTGAAATCTTCACTAGTTCGTGTAGATTTTTGAGAATCTTTACCTGTTATATCTGGTTCCATCCTCAAGGTAACGCAACAATTTAATATTGTATGTCTTTTTGTAGCACTATCTGCAGGTGCCCTGGAGGGGGCAATTGGATGCGATAGAGACCGCTCAAACTAATATTGTTCTCTTCAGATAGAATTACAAGTTGATCAAAGATATTTTTCTGCCCTAACTTCAATCACCTTCTCTATGGACGTTAGTTTATTTTTCAATGTTTGTCTTTTCATTGCAGCATAGAAGCAAATGACTTTTGAAGTAAAACTTCAACAAAAGCATTCTTGAGTGTATTCGCATTACTTTCAGTAGCTCGTATTCTGAACTTCTGTGCCTTTATGTGATGATGTTTCTGAAGAAGTCGTACATTTAAAATGCAGATTCTACACAACTATATCTCATATGACGTGTTATGTTCTATTTGTAATTCTAATTACAAATTCCATTCTAATTCCCCCCCCCACATAATTTACCTGATTTCGTTTGTAGATTATATTGTGACAATATTTCAACATGATGGCACATTGCATTGTGATACGCCGAACCCACTGGTAATTCAAACACACTAAAAACAGAACCTTCAAACACTTCGTAAGCCTGCTTGTAGATTCCCAGTGTACGACTGTAATGCTTCAAGAATTACATGCTTCTATCGCCACCCCTACACAGCACCACTACTATTTGGATATTTTCCCAAGAACACATAAATAAGAACAAAAAGCATAGAATTCTCTTAGTCGCGCAATAACATCCGAATATTCTCCACGATTAAACCGGACTATACCAGAGTATGCTTTCTTCACAACTGCAAGATCATGCATGGGGATGGCATGTTTATGTCTAATTTCACTTTTAGATGTTGATAACATGCGCTGAACTGTTATCTTTCAGTTATCGGTTCATTATTATTATAAGTTGGGTCATATAATCTACAGTTGTTAGATGTTCTGCAGTCCGATGTATCCAATAACCATTTTTCTATTTATTCAATTTTGTGATTTTATTTCAGTTTCACGTTCTACATATATATAACATGATTTGTAGGTTATATATAATGTAAATCAAGTGATTGTGTGAATAACATAATTTTTACTTAAATATGTAGGCAATTGTGACTGTAATTTAAATTCATCAAACAAGTAAATATAAGTTCAGTGTTTTGAATATGTTTTTATTACTTTGTGTCGAGTCTACACAATTTTAATTATGTTAGGTCTCTTAATTTATTGTTTTATAAGGTAAATTGTATTTTAACGTGTCTGAGTATAGGTCGCATACTAATGGTAATTCTTCTGTATCCGTATTTGAAGTAAACAAATGCAAGTGTGACGTGAACGGATGGGTAAATTCTATAGTTTGTAGCATCAGATGTACGTGCTCGTATAACAATGTTAAATACCACCACAAATATTCCTTTCACCCACACATACTGAATGATAAACAGCAATAATTAAAATGTGAACAAAATAATTTACAACATTTTATTGCCCATACATAAAATTAAAATATTATCAATGACATTGCAAAGAAAATTTTAATAATATATTATTATAATGAAATATAATAAAACAATTATAATTAAATATACGTTGAAATACAACACCAAATGATATCACTAATCACAAATGTAAACCACAGATGAAAACATTAGGAGAAACTTTTTTTGGATGCAAGAACTCATAACACACATACTAAAGCATTATCTTGCAATATAGATGAATAAATGTTTTTTTAATATTATTGTTGGAATGTTAAGGATCAAATGTATAGTGTTCATTGTATAAATAATTAACACATACTAAATATGAATGTGCAGTAATTGTCATTGTACATATCAAATTGATTACTAAGTGTACTATGAGAGCAATGTTCTAGACAATATTTAAAAGAGTTCATATGGAAACGGATATCCAAATAGATCAAAATCCATTTTATATAATTTATATAACCTACTTATATCTTCTGGTCGAACGTGAGAAAAATATTGTAAATAAACATTTTCGTCTGAACTGTTAGTCACGTGTGTACTATAATCTGGAAATGAGACATTGGTCACTCCAATGTAATTAAGCAGGTAGTCAGCTTCTTCTTTCAGATTCTCAAAGTGCCCAATAAAATCATATCTATGATTACACACGTCACACAATTTATGCATAAAATCCCAGTGCATGTCAAATCTAGATGTATCTTTCAAATCTACCAGAAAACGCACAAATTCAGAAAAGTGAACATTTCCCCCACTCATTTTATCAGCACTAGTGGCATTTTCCCGATAATGCCTAATGATTTGTCGTCCAAATTTCTTAACCCAGAACTGTGAGTCAGGTAATTCCAATTTATTTCTGTATGCAGATAATAATCTTTTAAACGGATGGCGTACAAATAAAAATGACGTGTAAGTTTGTGTGTTATTGTTTTTTGAAATGGTTGGATAACTATGCCTCATTTGCACTTTTTTATGATACAAGCCAACTGTATCATTGACAATACCCATCAGAACGAGCAATAGACGTTTCCAACTGGTTGCACCAACTTTTGGAATAGGGCAGTACACAAAGTTATAATCATCATTGTAAATCAAACGACTCTTGTTGCTTGTTTGTCTGTGGTAGTATGTATTATTATGTTGCATATCAATGCATGTCTGGTGCAGGAGTTGTTTACGATTTCTTTGGATTTGCTCCATATACTTATTCTGCATAAATAAAAAAAGAAATTATATATATATATTATTTCTAATTCCAGAATATCATGTATTTTTACATTTTTATTTAATTAAAAAAAATGAAAACACAGAACCAATAGATAGATATTTATTAGCTTTGTGGCTTTTATCACAAAACTACATTTCGGATCATGTATCTTGAAGAAATACATTTACCATTGTGCTATTCAAGGCATCAGTGCTAGTTGGTCTGTTTATCAGAGGAATCACCCGGCTTTGTGCATTCCAAAATAACTTGCCTGAATTATTCATACCTGCAAGAGTAACATTAAATGAATAATCTGTAACATCACATGGTAACAATATTGTCATCTTGGATACCTTGGCTAAACTAATTTAGTTTAACAATCCTGCAATCAAGTAGTATATTTCTTCAAAGATTTACAGCTTTGCATTAAAATTAATTACGACCTCCTCACTACACATAAAGCCTATTTATCACTGTTCATATTATTAAATGTTCTATCATAGTGTAACCATATGTGTACCTTTAAGATGTGATTTTAAAAATAAGATTTGTCTGAACCACAGTGCCTTTCAAATAGAATTTTGATACAAGACTCCAAATTATATTGTAAGTCCCCGTTTTCGCACTGCTTATGGAGTGACATCTGTGCGTGCGTGTGTCCGTGCGTCCGTGTGTCAATGCATCCGTGCGTGTGTGCGTCCGGACCTATATCTTAGACATGCCTGGGCCGATTACATTCAAACTTTATACATGATATTATACATATGCACTTCAATTTGTTTCACGATTGTTTCGAGATGACCGAATGGCGGCCTTTTTCTGCTGAAAAATCATCAAAATCAAGAATTTATGGATGGATTTTGCTCAAACTACGTACAAACGTTGGACATTATGGAACCTTGATGCATGCCATTCTGTTTTTCAGGTCAGATTTAAAATGGCTGATGGTCGCCATTTTGTTTTAATGAATGCAGTTCTAGTGCCATATCTCTGACATGCTTTGACTGATTTTGTTCAAATTTTATATATTCACTATAGATCATGTCATAGATATACAGCTATATTGGCTTGACTATCTGATTCAAAATGGTCGAATGACGGCCATTGTTGTGCAGAAAAATTATCAAAATCAAGATTTTATGAATGGATTATGGGACCTTGATGCATGTCAATTTATGTTTGAAATGGAATTGGCTAACTTGCGGCCATTTTGTTTTAATGAATGCGGTTCATAGGCCGTATTTCTGACATGATTGGACTGAATATGTTAATAATTTATATATTTACTATACATTATGTTATAGATATACAGATGTATTCAAAATTGCCGATCAGTGGTCATTTTGCTTTAATTAATGCTGTTCCAGAGCAATATATCCCAGTATGGACAAGTACTCGTTTGACGATGATGACAAGATGACTGAATGTCAATCATTTCAATGTTAAAAATCATCATAATCAAGCATCATTTTTTGGATCCATATCTCTGACATGTTTATGTTCAAACTATATTAATATAAACAAAAATTATATATCTTAAATTTGATAACTAACGGGGACTGTACCATGCATGGCTTGTTGATTATGTGTTGGACTAATACCTGTTAACAGTCTGTTACCACACACATATGCAATACAGATATCGGGCACTATCTCCTTTATCATGTGTTTGTATGGGCAGTGGATGTTTATATATAATGTGTACACCGTATTGGCAACACAACATCATACAGTGTGAATGGGAATCTATAATGAAACATTATTGATACCTATCAATGCTGTACGTGTGAGTGAAAAACACATGCATATTTACTTTAATGATGATAATTAATTTGTTATGCCCAACAACTTCGCAGAATATGTTTCTGGAACAACATTGCAAATGCAAGAAGCTTATAACTGTTATTATTAGTGGATGATTCAGTTAATTAGTCAAATTTCTTGTGGCCATGTATGCACCTATACCGACCACACAGAAAACAATATATACTGTATGTTGAATAGTGATATAGGAGCTATTATATTCTTGAAAGTATATTTAACATAACATATTTTCACATTTTTGGGCGATACTTGAATCAGCAGTGCATTTTGAAGAATCAAACAATCAGGCGATGCAACAAAATAATCATTTGAACAAATCAGACATACGCTATTTATTCACAACTTTGCTTTGAAATTGAATTTGCTTTGAAAATAATAATCAACTATGGAACATTGCTGCTAGCAGCTATGTGTATATGACTGCTACTTTACCTATGTCGCCAGCTAGAAAAATGATGGAAACCATGGCAACTAAAAAGACAATTATGGTTTTGATATTTCCGAGGCGATGTAAATGAGGATAATTACTCAGTCCCATTATAATACCTATGGAAAATAAACAATAGTGTCAATGGATGTGATTGGGGCAAATAAAAGTGACCTTATTAAAAGAATTTAATATTATTTCAATAGGCCTGCGATAAATCTAAACAATAACTCTATGCTATGATATAATTTATGATTGTTTTACATTACTGCATCAGATCAGTCACTCAAATTATTATGACGTCATAAGTAAAAGATCAGTAATAAAAAGTATAAATAATAATAATATTTATTGATTCTTCAATCTTGACGAACTGGCATCGCGATGAATCTTGACCATATTTAGATAATAACATCGGTTCAGGAGTTTCCATAAGTAAATACGATAATTTATTTAAACTCTCTGCTATCATAGAAATTAATGTCAGTTTACGTGTGACTGAAGTACGTATAACTAGTGACGTCCTTACCGTGTTGTTGATCGCTGCACAAGTTTCAAAAACAGACTTCCTTATTAAAATGTTGGAGACGTTTGGAAATGCGCAACGTTGGAAATTGTTGCAGATGGTGGGAAATGTACAACGTTGGAAAATGTTGCAGATGGTGGGAAATGTACAACGTTGGAAATTGTTGGACACGGTGGGAAATGTGCAGCGTTGGAAAATGTTGCAGATGATGGGAAATGTACAACGTTGGAAAATGTTGGGGACGGTCGGAAATGCGCAGCGTTGGAAAATGTTGCAGATGATGGGAAATGTACAACGTTGGAAAATGTTGGAGACGGTCGGAAATGCGCAGCGTTGGAAAATGTTGCAGATGATGGGAAATGTACAACGTTGGAAAAAATGTGGAGACGGTAGAAAATGTGCAACGTTGGAGACGGTGGGAAATGCGCAACATTGGAAAATTGTAGAGACGGTGGGAAATGTGCAACGTTGAATCACTGTTGGTATAATAAATATCCATACTTAATAGAGCAAACAATGTCCGGATATCACAATAGTATTCCGATACTTACAAATTAACATACCAGAACGTGTACATGAATTGATTATATCGACTGACAGCTATGTAAAAGAATTGGGAATTGTCGTCAGACATATGAGAATAAAGTATTGGTAACAAATGGACTCGTCCAGCTTTGTCCTTATATTTCAAGTGGAAAGCTCGTAACAAATATAATTAGCAACAATTAAATTGTAGAATCGAGAGATAAATATTACTTCTTCACGGGGCAGATCACATCTGTAAGGCCACTATACATGTCCCTGCTACAATAAGTGACCCCCGAACCAAACGCCGGTACACGAGGGAATCAGGGATATGCATGCTGGTAGAAAACGCCCTCTGTGTTGGAGCGCGATATCAATCCTGCAAAGAACTCTGGGACAATGTTGTGGCATTGAGGACACTTACAGAATTTCACTCGTATATACTAGATTACAAATTTGTAATTGAACATATCTATGTGATATAATAAAAATTGGCAAAATGAAAATGACTTGATCACATAAAATTTACTTAAATTAATTACACAATTATAAAACGTTCATAATACTTGTTTATAAAATGGGACCCATCGACTTTCCGTAAATTATGGAGTGATTTCCTTGTTGAACACGTCCAGTAAAATGTTTACTTCCGCTTGATATTATGGTCTGAATCTCCAAAAATATCTGACCAAAACGTGGCAAAATTTCTTGCACATTCGTCGACTTCTCCAACGCTTTTGACACTATAGAAAGACAAAGAATATGGTAATTTCTTATAAAAGGCAGATTCGATGAGAAAATGCTACATGCCATGTACGAGGAAGTTGAAGCGTGTGTCAAATCTCATAGCTCTCTTACGGAATATTTTAGGTTCCAATCGGAGTACGTCAAAGGTGTATACTCAGCCCATTTTTGTTTATCTTCATTGTAAATTATTTATCAAGTAAATTGCAGAATGGTGGGCTGCGCGCTGTGCAACTCACGCGTGATTTTATAGAATTTTGAACAAACTTAGTTTATTATTGCGATAAGTGGAAGCTACCTGTTAATTTAGATACAACTGAAGTTATGGTTTTCAAGCACGTTGGGCACCTATCAAAAGCGGAAAAGTGGGCCTATAATGGCAAAAGAGTGAAGGCTATTTTCCTACTATGAATATCTAGGCATATTAATTTTATGCAGACTTCACTGGTTCCTGGCAGACACTTCTACATGGTACAAGAAAAACCTTGCTATGTATACTCAAGGCCACAAAAACAAATGCATGTGCATTTGTCCGATATCATGTCTGATGTATGTGTGAGGTATGAACATAATCGGTCCAAGCATGTGTGAGATACCACAGAATATAGAAGGACGGACGGACAGTTGGGCTAAATTCAATCCATAGGTTCTTATTTTTAGCCTGCGTCCGAACTAAACAGGTGTATTGAAAATAACTTTAGATCTTTCTATAAATACAATATGAAGGAACAAACCGGTGATCGATCGTTGTTGAGTAAATTTCAGGTGCCTTGATTTGAGGTAGGTTTCATATAGCAACTAACGCATCCAATCGATTAACATTGATTGGGATGGCATAAAAACCAAATATTCAGTTACCATTTTAGTTTACTACCGTACTTATCCGGGTAAGAGCCCATGCCTGGGCAAACGCCCACCCCTTCTTTTTGGCAATTTTCCATGTTCAAGACCCTGGGCTTATACCCGGATAAATACGGTAATTCTCAAATTCTTATGCAGCCTTTGTGTACTACTAGTATTTGTTATATACCGCATTCATGTTTCTTAGTGGCTAACCTCTTAACAACTGTCATTTCACAAACAAGTCGAGGCAAATGAAGATACCCTATACACCAATGCGCAAAATTTCTGATTTTCCATTTTTAGGGGATTCTAATATTCAAAAGGTTGCCACTTTGGGATTATAAATCAAATTGATGTCATAACATACAATGTTCCAATTACTAGTATTGTGACTATATTTTAGACATTGCTATTCTTGCCATATTAGTCTAGGTTAGTTATTTTTCTGGGATAGCAGGCTTGTCAGGTTGAGAGGTTGGGTTACTGCACCATCTGCGAACTCTCACCCAACAGTCCTTGTAAAGTAAAATAAGGAATTACGTAACTGCAAAAAACCCCAACACAATAACTTATGACGGAATCGACTCTGCTCCAGGTAAGTTGTTGCTAACTCGTGTTACAAACAAAACGTCACTCCACACTTGGATTACTCTATAGTAGTAAATGGGCCGCCTGTATTCCACTCAAACCACTAGTAAACTACCTGTATTCCACTCAAACCACTAGTAAACTACATGTATTCCACTCAAACCACTAGTAAACTACATGTATTCCACTCAAACCACTAGTAAACTACATGTATTCCACTCAAACCACTAGTAAACTACATGTATTCCACTCAAACCACTAGTAAACTACATGTATTCCACTCAAACCACTAGTAAACTACATGTATTCCACTCAAACCACTAGTAAACTACATGTATTCCACTCAAACCACTAGTAAACTACATGTATTCCACTCAAACCACTAGTAAACTACATGTATTCCACTCAAACCACTAGTAAACTACATGTATTCCACTCAAACCACTAGTAAACTACATGTATTCCACTCAAACCACTAGTAAACTACATGTATTCCACTCAAACCACTAGTAAACTACATGTATTCCACTCAAACCACTAGTAAACTACATGTATTCCACTCAAACCACTAGTAAACTACATGTATTCCACTCAAACCACTAGTAAACTACATGTATTCCACTCAAACCACTAGTAAACTACATGTATTCCACTCAAACCACTAGTAAACTACATGTATTCCACTCAAACCACTAGTAAACTACATGTATTCCACTCAAACCACTAGTAAACTACATGTATTCCACTCAAACCACTAGTAAACTACATGTATTCCACTCAAACCACTAGTAAACTACATGTATTCCACTCAAACCACTAGTAAACTACATGTATTCCACTCAAACCACTAGTAAACTACCTGTATTCCACTCAAACCACTAGTAAACTACATGTATTCCACTCAAACCACTAGTAAACTACATGTATTCCACTCAAACCACTAGTAAACTACATGTATTCCACTCAAACCACTAGTAAACTACATGTACATGTATTCCACTTAATTTTTCTTTTTAATAAGAGATTGTGTTATTTCGGTAATAAGTAAAAAATAAATAATTTGTTTTTCTTGGAACATCATATTCATTCATTCCTTTAATGATTAGTTACAACATTTTCACTGCCAAGGATTAATAATTACGATGAATGTATGAACATGTACATTCATTGTGTAACACATATACATAATACAATTCCCCAAACATAAACAATCATTCATTAGATATTCAAATGTTTTGGGTATATAAGTGTTTATCAAGCATGATCGTAAATCGTCCAATGACTAAGGGAACCCCGTAAAGACTCATGGGTAATGGACGTTTTCTTCTTTGGATTTGAATGAAGCCGGGGAGCGGGGGGGAGGGGGGGGGTTTCTTCCGGAGTAAATGATACATAAATATTTATATATATCTTGAATCATGCCTTCATGAAAAGCACATTATATGAGGAACATTCCTCTAACATACAACAAAATAGTAGATGACGTCATACAACAATATCAATGGATGACAGTTTTGTCGAATTGAGAAGAAATTAGCACATATATAAACCTTTGTTTTTATTTTCGAAATTCTGGCTCCCAATAAAAATAT